GTTCCCCCACCCTTGTTGATTTGAAGATGTGTGAACTCCAACCCCAAGATCCCCCAATTTGGGCTGGTGGGGAATTCTGGGAGTTGAAGTCCACACATCTTCAAGTCACCAAGGTTGAGGAACCCTGATCTAACCGGTATGCCTTTATTGCAAACTATTGCTTTAATCTTCTTTCCAGTTGGCTGTGTTAGTTTGTTAGATTTTGATCTTCCTTTTGTTCAAGGAATCAAGGGGATTACAGACATGGAACAGAATTGTCCATTGCTGGCCATAATGACAAAAAAAGGGACAGCACGCATATGGTGACATCACAGTGCAAACCCTGCCCTTTCATACTTGTGTCCTGAGATTGGATACAAATATGTAAGTCCTAGGGTTGCCTCATGATATTACGACACACATTTTATTACTTCTTCCCTTGCTCTCGCATAGATATGGATGCATGGGGATCTCCTTTCCTTTTATCCTCATAAAAACGACTCTACAAGGCATGTTGGGCCAAGAAAGTCTTTGACCCAAAGTCTTCCAGTGAGCTCCCAAGTCCAAGGGTAGACTTGAGCCTGGATCTCCCCAGTCCTTGTGCAGCACGTGAACTGCTATGTCACACTAGGTCTCTTATTATATACAGTATATTAATTGGAGTCTTGAAGGTGGGTGGGTTAAAGATTACTCAATGAAAACACACATGGCAAAAAGAACATGGCACTGTAGTTGGAAGAGATGCTGTGGAGAGCCCTTAGCCAATAAGTCAAAACCTTTTCCAGTTATTCTACTTTTCCCATCTACCTTCTAATTCCCTCCTTCCCAAATAATTCAGAATTGTATAACGTGTCCTTCAGATGTGTTAGACTACAACTCTCCTAACTATCTAGGATGGGAATGATCAGAGTAGTAATCCAACCCATATAGAAGGCACCCACTTGGGAAAAGCTGCTCTAACCATCATTTTTGGAAGTCCTCCTACCTGTGAAAAGCTATTTTTCCCCATTAAGGTTTTTTTTGTGCTTCTGAAAACTGCCAGACACCTGGCCCTGCAAATATCCTTCCTTCTCCCTGACATGTGCATAACAGCGCTGTTTAAGATGTATACAGCTTGTAAAACCAGAGGGCAATAAACAAAGAACTAGAAGGATACAGGCATGGTACTGTTCTTGGCATTATTTGGAAAGAAAGGGGCAATGGGAGATTCCACCTTTTCTGGATGGGGGGAATAGTCCTGACTTTTAGAATAACCTTTCCCAACCTGATGCAATTCCCATTATTTCCCAGGTCCACAAAACTTTGCGGCATCATACACTTCTTGGCTGTTTAATGGGCAGCAAGTTCTTCTCCTTGCATACCTTTATTCAGCGTGATTGGAGCAGACCATCTTGTTTCTGCTTTCGAACCCGTGGAGTCCATGGCGAGGAATTTCACTCTGAAAAGTATAGTGAAATTAAAGCAGAAGAAAGGAATGGAAGGAAATATCAATGACATTCCAAGTGCATTTCGGCTCATATGACCAAGGGTGCCCACAGAGTTTGGTCAAAAATGTCAAGATGGTGGCTGCAATGGTGAATGATAAAAAAAAAATGGGGGGGGGGCAGAAAGAGAATAGAGGCCCTATTTGAGTTTAGTCCCATTCATAATTTCCTTCACCCCATTTATTGATGTCATGCAACCCTTGAGATTCCTGGAAAGGAATTCAGTCTTCAACCTGAACAAAAAAAAAACCAAAAAAAAAAACCAAACCCAAGGTTGCCTTCTGATGATCCGAAGGTACAAACCCATCATTATCTGATTAGAGTTGAAACTTCTTTTGCATTATTCAAGCCTGTGTGATTCCGGAGGACCAAAGATCTCATTCTCTTGCCCTGACTTCATTCCATTTCCTTACAGGGTGGAAAGTCTGGTTGAATGTGTCTGCATTCCCATGGCTGTTTTCTCAAGGGATGGGCCCCCAAGTGTCAAAAATTGGTTATACCTCCAGCTTCAGAATCACTATGATTCTTTTTCTTCTTCTGTTTTTTTTCCCCAGAATTGTTACATTGACTTCATTGTTCCTTAATTATTAAATGAGATGCAGGCCTGGTGTCTCGGGGAGTCAAAACATTCAAGATGGCAGTCATAACCATGCAATGAAAGATACATGTAAAAAGGGCAGGGTTTTGATTGCGTGATTATAGATGCCATCTTGAAGTTTTTGACACAGGTAAAAAGGGGCAGTGCTTCAATTGCATGATTATGGCCATCAGCTTGGCTTTTTTGACCCCCTTCCCTGCAGACACCCCTGGAGACTCTGAAGAAGTCTTTGGAGAAGTGACTGCTCACCCCAAATATTCATTTCTCCCTGACTGGAAATATACAGCAAAAGATCAGTGAATGCCTTCAGTTAAGAAAATTGGCTATGGGGAGGGGGGAGGTTTAGAAAAAAAAGTTATCAGAGTCGCTCAGTTAAAAAAATGGTGTAGAAAGTTCTGTTTGTAGCCACTGTAGGCATATATGACTTAAGAATAAATAACTTAATTGCATTAATTATCTATCCTCTAATAGGGAGCCATTTGGACAGCCTCTTCAGCCTCTCTCCTGCCACCCCTGATGGTGCTGCTCAGGTTCTGCTGCAAAATATATGTATTTTGTCTTAATTCCCCCAGCCTTGCAAAATTCCAAAAAGAAAGAGCCAAAGATTGCAAACGCCAATGCAATGATGTCATCACACTGCCGCTCTGACCCTTGTAGCACTCAGGCTGAAGGAAAGGTGGTGGTGGTGGGGGGGGGGACAAGAGAATTGCCCTTGCTAAAATTATGTATATCTTCCTTTGACTTAGATCTTGCCTTTCAGTCAGTACTCAAGGAAACTCCCCTGGTTTGTATTTAATACAGTATATAGCAAACAAAACCCCCCAAAACTGATCATCCCCACTCTCCTAACAACATTCTTGGCCTCCCTTTCCTTCCCCAAGTAAATTGTTCGGGAGTTGTTGCTGCAGTGGGGTTCCCAACATTCCCAAGATCCAGGTGTTTTTTGTTTTTCTTTCCCCCCCAAAATGTTTCATGGTCAGTCAGGTCCAATAGCTTCCAAGAGAATCTGAGAATGCGAGGCTGTATTTGCACAGCACATTTATCCTCGTTCCTAAATTAAGCCAGCTTTCTCAATGTGCTAAGCGATGTGCACCCATAAACATAAACCTAATCGGGGTTCAGCCTATGCTTAGCGTGCCATGCAAGTGGCAGCCATTCGATTTGTGACTGGATGCAATCTGAGACACCAACAGGTCTGTTGGCTTAGATAACCAAGTGGAAAGGAAGGGATGTTTATCCATTTTCTGTCTTGATTTCTTTTAGGATATTATTATTGTTGTTGTTGTTGTTGGTTGCACAGTCAGCCAGATGTTTAGACTGGATTTGGCATTTTTGTCCACCTATAGAGTCTTTCCCAAGGACCTGGGATAGACAGATGTGGTTGTTTAATAATATTAAAGATATTGTCGCAGGATGTA